TAATATTAAACACCCTGTCTGCTGACAGTCATCAACTTTTCTCTAGTTATCCTTGACCAGATGTACCCTGTAGAAACTCATAAGCATGACTAAGCATTTAACAGTCTAACTAGACATCCTATCTCCACTAAACATTTCTAATACATACAAGTGCCTAACCAATATCTATCTGACTAAAAATACCTAACAATAACATCTGGGGATTTGTGTGACAGAGACACAGTTTCTGGGCAAAAAAAAAGTCTTTAAATTGCACTGATCAATATCCTTATTTGAACAATGGATTGATGTGTAATATGTCAAGGTTACTGGTAATGTAGTGACACATCCACTGACAACTACTTGAGCCACATTTTGCTCACTGTTTTCAGTTTGGTTTCAGTTTTATGCAGTCTCACTGCATAAAAAAACCTCTCACAAACTAATGACACCCTAGTTTCTCAGCAGCAAATGGCAGACAGTCTGGTGGAGTACTACTGGGGGTAATCATAGGTCATTGTCTGCCTCTTGCTGATAATGACTAAATGGTGAACATTGGGTAGCATTCAGAGAGAAGCTGAACACCAAGCTGTAGTAGCCTGGAGCTGGTGAAGACCAAAACAGAGGTAAAATAGAGACTTTTTTTTTTTACTGTTGCTCAGAGTCTGCTGGGTGTGCAATAGGAAACTGTTTGATGACACATCCATAACTACTTTATGAGCTGATAAATGCTGAGGGTGCGTGATATTCAGCTTATTTTGCAGTTTTGTCCTCAGATAGACAAAAAAATTGATTAATACAGCTTTTAATGTAATTTTTCAGTACTACAAGACACACATTTCTGTTCATCTCCTGTGATGGCATTGTGAGATAGTTATTTTTACATTTCAGCAAATAAAAGTACAGCTACTTCCATGTCTATACACTGTACCACTGAAGCTAAGTGAAGTGAACATTTTATCTCATAATTTCAGTGGTACAGCCATTCAGGTCAAATAAAAACCCAAGTAAAATAAACAGTTCTAAGTTTTCTATAGTCTGTTGCTCTGTAAAGCAACAGCCTTGACACGGTAATGCAATATACTCACTGAAGTCCTTTTGCCTCCAAACACACCTGCATTCCCTGACAAAAGCATTTACTCTGTAGCTTACAGCTGGAATTTAATGAGGCATCAAACATATTTCAGTGTTTTGACCAGGACTTTTTTCTATTTCAAGCATGAGCAGCCAGGCATAATGTGCAAACACTCATTTATTGGCGGATAACAAAAAGGTAACTCTGTTTGCTTAGATTAATTTATTTTTTAATTGTATTTATTTACTCTGTGCTGGAGAGTGAAGTGTTGGCATTAAAAAGCATACATGAAAACACATCCCATAGAGATTACCACTGCTATCAAATCAATAATTCTCTTTTATTTGGCCCAAAGGAGCATTATGTTTTCAAGTCATAGACAAGAGTTACTGCCTTTATTAGGTCACACATAATTGCCATAACACATATCAGCTAAAAACAGTGAGGATGACAGTATAAAACAGTGAGGTGAGACTTTAATGGCATCCCGACATTAGGCGAAGCGTATCAATCTTCCTCTGCACAATGAGCATACGCATTCTATATATTCACTGTGTCATGTGAAACACGGAGAGACAACAATATTTCCATGACTTTCCTGCCAAGCTGTGCTAAGTGAGATGAGGTGAGGCAGGGTGGGGGCATCACTTTGACTAATTATCCTCCTACAGCAAGACAGTATGTAGCCAAGGAAGTGACAGTGAAGAGGCAGAGAGCAGGAGGCGGGGGAGGCGAGGGGGGTGGGGGTGGAAGAATCAGCACAGCCTTTACAACCTCAAAAGGTCTCTCAATCAACAAATGCAGCAGAACCGCCAAAAGGAGGTGAGGAAATTGAAGGAGCAGCAGTTTTGAGGTGGAGACACTGTGTGCAAGTTAGGGCATGGGTGAGTGCATGAGTAAGAGAGGGTGGGTGAGTGGGTCGACACCTGACAAGTAGGAAGTGAACAAATTGCATACAGTCAGTACAGTCAGGGACCACGGACTGTTTCAGTAAAGCTTTCACAAGAAATCTGTTAAATTTCAGCAGTTATTTTGGTCAAAACTAATACATAACTATTATTAGAATTAGATTATGGACAAAACTTAATCTTAATCTAATCATGTAGCATTTGGCCTTAGTGACCAGAAGATACTTTACCGGTCATGAGATGATTAGAAATGTAAATGCATGGGGAAAAAACATATTTCTTCTCCACAACATTATGTTCATTTTTCAGTCTTGCTTTTCAGAGTTTTATTAAAAAAAAAAAAAAACTCAAACATTAAACTAGTGAAACTAGTAGACATAAACAGCAGGTTACACAAGGTCACCAGTACACAAACATTCATTTTAAGGGATAAAAAGAGGATAAATTAAAGCTATTTCACAATCAAAGAAAAAAAGAATCTCATTAATAGCTTTCTTTTGATTTACATCCATATAATTCCATCTCAAATAAGATGTTTCCCCTCCGCAGTATGCATCTTTCAAGAGGGGAAACAACAAAATAAACATTATTTTTTATCAATTTATGTTGTAAATGTTCTATGTTTAAGTGCAACTGTAAGCACTGGTTTATTGCATTCTACACATTGAAGTTATCTACTAATAACATACAGTTGTATCCGTACAATAAGAAACATGCAGAATATACTACTAGCATTATTATTCCTGCACCATAATAATAGTTTCAATATTTTAGAAATTCCGAGAACCTCCCTGACCTCTCAGGTACTTCTCAGGTACCTACGGGCTGTACAATCCCAGCATCACCCAGCAGTGCAGGACCTACAGGATGTGTGGGTGGTTAAGGTTAAGGCTGCTGTTGCTAGTTTGACTCAGCTGATGCCTGCTGGATTCTTCGATAGAGCCCAGAAGTGCTGCCTCAGATACTGAGTTCAGGGAATCCTGTATCACTTCCTTCATTTAATACTGTTTGCAGAAATCGATGAGTGAGAATGGATATACCAAGGCATAAAAAAGCAGTAAATAAGCAGCTGATATTTACTGCAGTAGTAGCAAAGAATGTGCAGTAAAGGGACTATAGCATGTTTTGACTGCAGTTGTAAAAAGTGCTTTACAATTTGCCTCTTGCCCCTCATATACACACATACAGGTATACTGAACACTGTGTCATGGAAAAAGCCATCTGGATTTGTTCAAAAAGAATTTTTCATAAAAATATGAATTTTGAAAGAGGACCACTCAGCTGTTAAATTCACATTATTTCAGATTCAGATGAAATATATATTAAAATAAATAGATCATGAGACTAATCTTAACTTATCCCATGTCCCTCCATATCACCTCCAAAATAACCTAAAGAATGGCTTCAAGTGCTCATGACGATTTACTCAAGGACCAGCCTCAAGTTTAAAAAAATTAGGCCACACACACACACACTTGTTTTCATCATTTACCAGGTCCCAACATAGACTTACATTTTACATTACATTTCCAAGAGACTTACCTTAACCTTAACCAGAATCACTACTTGCCTAACCTTAACCCTGACACTTGCTCTAACATTACACCCCATCGTTTTTGTAAAATTCAGTCAACTACTTTGTGAAGACCTACCTTGGATACCTACAGGTGACTTCCAGTCCCTGCAAATATGGTAACTGATGGATTTGAGATCCCACAAGTATAGAAAAATAAATCCACACACATGCTTATCCTATCTTTGTGAGGGCACTCAGTGACATCATAATAATCATCATCATCATTTATTAGTCCTGCGTGGGAAAATTTCTCACTGATGGTGGCACTGTCTGAGTAATTGACTGGCCACTGTGGGCAACTTGGGGTTCAGTGTCTTGCTCAAGGACACTTGTGGAGACCAGGATTTGAACAACCAAATTTCCAGTTAGGAGATGACCACACTACCTCCTGAGCCTAGCACCTAACACCTAACCTAAATTTAACCATCAGAAGTAAACTAACCCTAATCCTTCCCTTAAACCCAGTTCTAACCTGAACCCTAAAACCAAGTTTTAAAGATATTTTAGAAAGTGAGGACTGGCCAAAATGTTCTCTTTTTCAAAAAAATGTCATCACTCTGTAGCAAAAAATACATTTTTGGTCCTCACAGTATAGCAAGTACAAGAAAGCATGAGCACACATCTACATCCCTTCAGCAAAGGAAAATGCCTTCATTATTCGTCACAACTTAAAGATTAAATTTAAATGGCCTAGCTGCAAGAAAAGCATTTTCCTTAATGCAGCAGTCATTTTAAAATGCCTGTAAATTGCACTTCTCTTTTCTTTCTGTGGCTCACCAGTTCCCACATGTTACTATTTCTGCTCACACATTTTCTCCTGTATTACATTAATACTTATTCGAAAACCACCAGTACTGTCTCTAAGCTGTAGAAGCGTCATTCTGGAGGTGTAGTTTATGTTAAGATGTTTGACCAAAGCTGTGTTTGAAAATCAATTTTTTTTTTCCGGTGACATTACTTTACTCAACAACAATTAATGACAGCAAAACAATATTTTCAGTACCTTACTTTGAAAAATATGTTTTTCTATCAAATAATTTAAAGGATTCAACCTTGTTTAAATTAAAGAGAGTATTTATATGAAGAATTGTGTGGCAAAAGAATAGTTAAAAAGTCTGGTGTTAGCTAATCAGGTCAGTGCATGAGCTTGTGGAGTAAAACTGTCCTTGTGGATGTGCAGTATGTCCTCATGAACAGAGTGGAATCATGCTCATAAAACCATTTTGTACAGCTCTCCTAGTGGTCAGGACTTTCCACAGGGTACCTTTATGCACTGTGTGTGACACTGAGTCATTCTTTACAAAAACAATATGCCAGTCTAGGTCTATGTGTAAGATGTGGTGAAGCATTTGTGTTTTAAGCAGAAGATAGTGAGTCAAAAAAGTTTTTGGTCAAACTAACTTTGATTTTCAAAGTCAAAACACTGTCTTACTGTCTCATAATTCGGACTTGCCTTTGACTTGAAAATCATCATTATGAGTGCTGTGGATAGCCAAGTGTTTTTGGCAGGCACCCGTGCATGAAGGCTAATTGGTATGGTGTGAGCCTTGCTTGCAGATCGCCTCCATTTTCCTGTCTGTTGGTGCTATTTGATCAAGATTAAAAAGCCCCCAAAATTTTGTATGTTTTCAAGAAATTATCATTTAAACTTTTATATTTTTTAAGTCATACCTTAGATTTAGTAAGTCCAGATTTCAGCTTCTGAAAATTAAAACATTTAGTCTTTTTTTTCTTTATTTATTAAATACAGGCTGCCATATCGGGTGAACATGGAACAAAACATATCTGCTTATCACCCTGTCTCTCAAATAAACTTTATGAACTTGTGTTTTAAACAAAACTCTTCTGTTACGGGGTCGTACATTCGTCCAACTTGCTCTGAGGCATCCCCACAATGCTATTGCCTGTTGAGATTAAGACATGGCTTCTTTGGATACCTTTGAACAATCAACTCATTCGCTAACCTTTTGGTCATGGCTGTAGGCCAGAATCCAGTCCTCCTGCTCAGGGTGGAACAGCAGGCTGAGGATGTAGAAGCTCAGCCGGTATTTCTGGTAGGTGGCTCCTTCATCAGAGCTGATCAGTAGACTGCTCTCCACCTCTGGATCAGTTAGCAGCATGATCTAGCAGAAGAATGACAGACCAGGGACATTGTTAGGATGTTAAGAATGTTTAAACTCTTAACAACAAAGCATTTAAAAAACATATTCCATTTGACTTGGTTGTGCACATTAGCAGTCCAGACAAAGAATGTGTGAGTGTGTGTGTGTTTTTGTTTGATTGCACTTAATTCTTTCCCATTTTCCTGCACCTAACCCTCTGGCGTATGTGTGTGTCTGCATTATTGACTAGATAAAACACACAGAGAAAAGTCAATCAAGACTATCGTATCTCGAGTAATAATTTGTATGTTAGGCAGTATGATACATCTTGTA